TCGGCATCTATGAAAACCAGGGCAGCTTGTCTGTCTATTTTCATATCCAAATATTCGATGATATCTATCAAATTCCTTACATTATCCCGTAGTTGTCTCCCTGGAAGGAAGCCTGTTTGATCTTTATGTATTTTATTAATCAAAACCTTTTTTAGTCTTTCCGCCATTATGTCTGCAAATAACTTATAATCTTTATTTAATAATGAAATTGGCCTATAGTTCTTCACTTCCATAATATCTACCTCTTTTTTAGGAATCAGTGTGATATATGCTTCCTTCCAGGTATTTGGAATCCTTCCTTCTTTTAATATATTATTCATCACCTCACCTAGCACTGGGGATATTTGATTACCTAATGTGTTATAATATTTGGCCGAAAGGCCATCCGGCCCCGGCGCTTTCCCAGCTTTCATCTTTCTTATAGCCTTCTTTATCTCTTCTTGTGTAATTATCTGGTCTAGTACCTCTTTTTCCTCTTTTACAATTTGTTTCAGGTGATATTTTTGCAAATATTGGTCTATTTCTTGTTCAGTTTCCTTTCCTCTTTTATACAAATCCTTGTAATATTTTTGAAATATCCTTTTTATTTCTTTTGGTTCTTCCACAATCCTTTCTCCTTCTCTTATTTTGCTAATCGTGTTTTGTTTCTTCCTTTCTCTTATTTGCCACGCCAAATATTTCCCTATCTTATTTGCAGATTCAAAGTTCTTCTGGTTCATTAATTTAATTTTCCACTCTATCTCTTGGTTTATTATTGTAGAGAATTTAGCTTGTAATATTTTTAGATTCTGTTTTGTGGTCTCTTCGCTAGGGTTGGTAGTTAATTTTCTTTCATTTTCCAAAATCTGTGTTAGAATCTGTTCTTTCTTTATCTCTTTTTCTTTTCTTAATTGGCTGTTTTTCTGAATCAGAAATCCCCTCATAACTGCCTTTCCTGCATCCCACACAGTCTCTATAGGGGTTTCCCCATTTAAATTCCACTTAAAGTAATCTTCAATTGTTTCTATGGCCTTATTTACAATCCTCTGGTCATTAAATAAAAATTCATTCATTCTCCATCTGCCTATTTTAACATTTTTGCCTTTTAACTCCATGGAAACTGCATTATGATCGGATATAGTTCGTGGCTGAATTTCAGACTTAGTTAGTTTCTGTATCAATTCCTTCGAGATCCAAATACTATCTATTCTCCCCCAACTCTGGTTTGGGTTTGAGAAAAAAGTGAATTGTTTCGTAGTGGGGTTCTTATATCTCCATGCATCAATTAATCCCAAGTTATTTACCATATCAAAGAAAGATCAAGGCAGTTTACCTTCTTTCATCTCTTGTCTTTTTGTTAGTTTATCTAAGTTTGGCGACACCACCCCATTAAAGTCACCCATCAGTATCATTTTTTGGTCCATCCATTCCATCAATATATTACCCAGTTCGGAAAAGAAAGCTGATTTTTTGTCATTTGGTGCATATATTCCAACCACAATTATTTTTTTCTCCATGAAATACCATCTGAACTACCACCAATCTCCCTAGCTCATCTTTGTACAATAGTTGTGGGTCATATTTTTCCTTTATGTATATTACTACCTGTCAGGGGTTCAGGAGCAGAGGCGAGGGCAAGGGAGGAAACAGAGAGCGAGGGGGAGGAGTCCGAAGAAAAGATGAGTGACGACGACGACCCGAGATCTCCGAGCCTGTCCAGTGAATCAGAAGATTCACAGAAAGGAGCGCCAGTGGCCAGAGCAAGGGGGGAGCTTAGGGGGACACCCCAGGAAGAAGGGTCCAGAGAGGGTTCAGAGGGCAGCAGTTGGAAATCGGGGCAAGCGTCACCAACAGAGCGCAGTGGGGAGGAAAGGCGCCAGGTATCGAGCTCTGGCAGCTCGCAGCAGGGGGGAGGGCATGAGTCAGGAGTGGCCACACCTCCATCGGAGAGCGAAGAAACGGTCGAGCGGAAAGTGGAAGGTTGGGCGCGCGCGCCAAGTTCAAATGCACCGGAAGGCGGCGCAGTGAGCAGCCCGGAAAGGGAGCCAGGTCCTAAAGCCCGACGCAAGGAGACAGGAGGGTCCGGGGGGTCAGCGTCAGAAGAGTCCAGGAAGGAAGAGACCACGGGGGGCAGAGGGACCCAGAGGAGAACGGTCAGGCGGAAAAGGTGGAGTAAGGCTAGGGTATTAAGTTGGTGTACAAGGGGCGGAGACTCAGACGGAGCTTCGCCGGTCTAGCTTATAAGACGTGGAGCTGCACGCGGCAGCTTGAAAATGGAAACTGTAACTCAATAAAGACTTTTATAAAGTGAACGCTGGCTAGCGTGATCCTCTGTGAGCTAGGATCTGGGAGCAGCTCTGACACTACCCCTCTTTTCTTAACCTTATCCGAGGTCACAAAATCTAATCCTAATCTCTTATTGCTCAATACGCTCTTATGCTTATTTATTACGTGCGTCTCTTGCAAGCAGATTAGATCCCAATTCTTTTTCAGTAATACATGCACAATCTGATTCCTCTTATTTTTATTATTCAACCCATTCACATTCCAGCTTAGTGTTTTTAAAAACCATCTGTTATGTTGTACTAACAAATTTATCTAGTCTGACTAAGAACTACTGTTCCTTGTCTTCCTTCTCTTCTTCTTCCCTTTCTTCTGTTGAGCTCTCCTCTCTTTCTTCTTCTTCGCTCCCCTGCTGCTTTCCAGCCAGAGTCTGCTTCTGCTGTACTCTGCTACTACGGGCGAAGTTCCTCACCATTCGGACAAGTGAGGGAGGGCGTTGGCCCAACAGTAGCAAGGATGAAAAAAGATGAGACGCTCACCTCACATCTTCTGTAGCAGAGCGACAAAAGTCCTTTCAAAGTCCAAATTCAAATCTTTGTGGAAAAACAGGAATGCTCCCGCTCATGGCGTTGGCATTGGAGAGTGTCCAATTCGTGCAATGCTAAACACTCAGCGCCCTGCCTCCACTGTAGCGAGCGGCAGATATCGGACGGCGTGCGAATGAAGGCACGTGCGCCCCATCCCTGCGGGGTTCAACAGGGATAATTACCCCCAGATTCACCTTGTTTAATTGCACGACTGGGGTCCAGTGTCCTGGGAAAGCAGCCAAACGCCTTAGGCCATCACACCGGAAGTCTTCTCCAAAGTCTTTTTTTATATTTTCTCTCTGATAGTAAGAGCTGACAGTGAAAAGGAACTCTCTCGGAAGGGGGTGGATCTTCATTGGGGGTTTTTAAGAAGAAGTTGGATGGCCACCTGTCATGGATGCTTGAAATGAGAATTCTGGAAGGGGTTGGACTAGATTCTGAATCTATGATTCTATACTTCACCCTAGTGTGAGATCTTAAATTGACTTTTTAACAAGTGAAATTTTATACACATTCCATGTGCTGATATGCTATCAACCCCGTATGAATTATTTGGTGGGCCATGAATGAATCTTTTCCCACATTCCAAACACTAAACCGTTTTCTCTCTTGTATGGATTATTTGATGGGAAGTGAGACTATCCTTCCGACTGAAGCTCTTTCCACATTCTGAGCACTGATAGGGTTTCTTGTTACGGAAAAGGAGCAATGCAGCAGCGAGCTGCAGCTGGCTGGAAAGCAAAACAAGATGTTGATGTTTGGGACTGTACCATGGGAACAAAGGGGCAGTCTATTCACTGTGCTGAGCACTGGATGTTAGCTCAGAGTGTCATTTGACCTGTACTGGAAGTACAGGGGTGGAGTTTATCTCTCTGCTGTTGGTGTTTGGAGAGTGCAGACACGTTTCTCTGTACTGCTGCAAAGACAGAAATAAAGACATGTAAATACATTTCTGTCTATCTCTTTCCCCTCCCTGGGGGAGGCAGGGAGCAGGGAAGAGTGGTGTGTTCTTCTCACGCTTGAGGAGGATCGCCGATAGTGACCTAGCCTGTATCCTGCCGGGAATCGCAGACAGGGAGGTCAACAAGGAGATCAAGCCGGGTGCCTGGAAAGTGGCCAGTTCCTCTGGTAAGGCTTGATATCCGACATCTGGTAGCATTCGCCGTTGGTTCTGATCCATGGAAATCTGCAAGAGAGGTTGATGGATCGTTCTTCATCCTCTGCACCAAGGGAAGGAAGATAAAGCTACGTGCAGCTGGAAGCTACACAGACGGCTGGGCATCGAGACAAGGTGAATGCCGAGCAACGGAGCCCCAAAGGTATGGTGAACGCGTAAAGAAGCAATCTTCAGTTCACTGAAGTGTCTGCGTTTGAGAGAAACCAGCACTGGGGGGGAAACAGCCGCATACCTTGCATACCGAGATAAGACTGGTATGCACAGTTGCTAAGCCATGAGAAGTCAGTGAAGTGGAGTGGAAACTTACTGACTGGGGGCTGGAACACGGAGTGTGTTTTGTCTACTTCGCAGTTCTTTGCAAGGACTTTTAAGCAGCTTGCGGTTTAACTGCCAAGTGGAGAAGGCAGTAAACAACCAAGAGTGACTCTTGGAAATTTACAGGCTCGAGAGTGAGAGCTGAGGCTTGGATTCAAAATCGATGCCAAGAAGGGGGGAAGGCTTACCTTACCCACCTCCACTGATGAATGACAATTATTCATCTTGGTCTATAAAGATGAAAGCCCTGCTACAGAATCAGAGGATTTTTGGGGTGATTGAGAACCCCATCCCTGCAGCACCAACGCCAGGTTGGAATTCACAGAATGTGAAAGCCAGGACGGCTATAATTCTGTGTGTCTCGGATGACCAACTCGTGCATATCCGGAATTTAGATAACGCGTGAGAGATTTGGGAGACACTGCGTAGAACACATCAGAGAGATGCTGGTTCTTCAGCGTTGCTGCATTTTGAAAAGCTGACCAATCTGAGGCTTGCGCCTGATGGAGATGTACAAGCGCATTTAACAGAGATGAAGTTCCTGCGCCAGCAGATGGCGGAACGCAATTTCCCTCTACAGGAGGAGATATTTTGCTTCATGATTATAAACAGCCTAAATCGGACTTATAAAACGGTTGCTAGTCAGCTTGGTTCCCTACCGGCCGCGCATCTCACGGCGGAGAGAGTGTGCGCCGTGGTTCTGAACGAACAGGACCGCCTTGCTGCACTGGATGTGAAAGACAGGGGGAGAGAAGCACGGAGTTCTGACTCCCCCACTGCTGCTGCTACTGAAGAGCAGGCTGTAGCTTTGAACGTTGTCCGATGTTACAATTGTGGACAGACTGGGCATCTTCAGCGGAACTGTAAGAAGCCACGTGAGCAGAAAGGAGCTAAGGGGAGCTCTGCAAAGCCTGAGGCATCAGGCAAAAGTCGTACCAAGTCCCAGGTGAAACCTGCAAAGGCTTTGATGTCGAAAGGAACCACACCAGAAGTGGAGAACACGTTTGTCATTGACACTGGAGCGACTCAACACATGACGTCACACAGAGAACTGTTTTCGACGTTTAAGAAGCAAAGCTTCACTGTGAAGCAGGCCAACGGTCAGGAGCTGGAAGCGACCGGGTTTGGAACTGTATATCTTGAGAGTCTGAACTTGACTATAAACAATGTGTACTTGGTTCCTGAGTTGAAGTTCAATCTGCTGAGTGTTTCGCAGATTGCAAAGAAAGGACTGAAATTGTCCTATGATAGTGAAAGCTGCAAGATCTTCAAAGATGGAGAGTTGTATCTTTCTGCCGGAGAGAAAGATGGACTGTATTTGTTAACTTTTGATCAAAGTGATTACATGAAATGTAATTCATCTGATTCTAACATGATTTCTCTCGCAGGTGTGACGAAGGACGCCAGGAAGGTGACCAGGGTCGACAGTGCATTTCAGCGGGTGTATGCTGATGTGATTGGTCCTCTAGCACCATCTAGAGGCAATGCAAGATATTATCTTGTGTGTGTGGATTATTTCTCTCATGTGTGGGTATATACATTGGAGAAACCACAAGAAGCCTTAGAAAGGTTTAAAGAGTTTTGTGACAAGGTTAAAACTGTTCATAATGCTAACATTGATTGTCTTTTCACAGATGAAAAGCCAGTTTTTCTTTTACAGGATTTTCAGGAGTTCCTGCATGAGAAAGGGATAAGGCACAGGGTTGCTGTTTCAGTGGAAGCGTGGAACAGGGGTGTCTGTGTACAGGTGAACAAAGAATTGCAAAAGGGGATGCAGGCGCAATTGCCGAGTTCACATTTGCCACATGAGTATTGGGTGGAGTCGTTAATGTCTTATTGTCACACGTGGTTGAGAAAGGTTTCAAAAGATTTGGGAAGTTCTCCTTTTGAAAAGCTGTTCCATAGAAAACCTTCTGTTGCCCATTTTAAGGTTTTTGGGTCTCATGTGAGAACAGAAGCTCCAGGTGGAGTAAAGAATGCCAGAGGCATTTTTGTGGGATATGAAAAGGGTCTCTACAGAGTAATTTTGTCTGAGTCTGGTCAGGTGATTGTCACAAAATTTCTAGAGAGTGCTCCTGAACAGGAGAGAGTAATTGTTCACACATTTCCCACAGAGGACAATTCAGATGATGACTTTACTGATTACAGTGGTGATGAAAATGACAGTGATAGCTCACAGAGCTCAGTTGACACAGTCATTGAGAGGAAGTCTCACATAATGGATAGGCCTTCACAGATGGAGGAAGAACCACTGTTTACTATTGGAACTGGTTCTGCTAAGAGTCCTGAGACTGAACCAGTGAGCAGAGAGGATCAGCACCTCATACGCAGGTCCGAGAGAGTTACAAAGGGTGTACCACCCAAGAGGTATTCAAAAGAGTTTGCTAACTTAGCTGTTGCATGTGTTACTATTGTTAACAACCCAAGACAGGTTGAAGCTGTGTCTAAGTCAGAGACAAAGACACAACAGGGAGTTGCTAAGTGTAACACTACATTCTCTAGCTAAGGTAATGCAGATGCACTCATTCCTTGGACGTCAAACAACCAGAGAGATACACTGGGGAAACCAGTGGCGGGGAGTTCCAAGGGTGGAACTGAAACAACAGGGGAGTGTTATATGTATAACAACTGTTTGTTTTCTTCTCTGGATCACGCTTTGCTCGCAACGCACATTGATTCTTTTGGGGGAGTATGTTACGGAAAAGGAGCAATGCGGCAGCGAGCTGCAGCTGGCTGGAAAGCAAAACAGGATGTTGATGTTTGGGACTGTACCATGGGAACAAAGGGGCAGTCTATTCACTGTGCTGAGCACCGGGTGTTAGCTCAGAGTGTCATTTGACCTGTACTGGAAGTACAGGGGTGGAGTTTATCTCTCTGCTGTTGGTGTTTGGAGAGTGCAGACGCGTTTCTCTGTACTGCTGCAAAGACAGAAATAAAGACATCTAAATACATTTCTGTCTATCTCTTTCCCCTCCCTGGGGGAGGCAGGGAGCAGGGAAGAGTGGTGTGTTCTTCTCACGCTTGAGGAGGATCGCAGATAGTGACCTAGCCTGTATCCTGTCGGGAATCGCAGACAGGGAGGTCAACAAGGAGATCAAGCCGGGTGCCTGGAAAGTGGCCAGTTCAGGCAGCTGGACAAGAAAAGAAATCAAAGATTGAAGAGGAGGAAAAGATACTTGCTGAACAGGAGGAGCAGAAAGGAGGGCTGGCCGAAATAATACAGAAGACAAATGAGAGCCGGGGACCTGTCAAGACGACTCCAAGCTTGACCAAGGTGAAAGCTGGACTATTTGGGACATACGGATTTAAGAAACAGAGCTGGAGCTCCACCTTTAAACAAGTAGGCCTGGCTGGAAGAATCATCGCCAGTATTGAGAAAGTACCTTTTCGAGTTTGGGTGTTAAACATAAGAGACCTCCAAAGAAGCTGGCTGAAAGGGACTGAGAGGGATTTGAGAGCCTAGGACGTAAGGTCACCAGGCTAAAAAGATGGACTAATGGCTTTTGGTCTGGGATTGAAACCGGGGAGAGAAGGGTAGGGTTTGGAAGTCCAAAGGGGGCCTGATCTTTATTTTGCAGTGTAAAAATTTTATGTTGTTTATTATTATAAGCATGGGGAATTCGTGGATGGGAACTAGGGTCAACCTTAGGAAAAGTATTTTCTTTTTCGTTTTTTCTTTTTTTCTCTACATATGACTAAGGTATATAATTTAAAAGTTACTGAATAAACTGAACTAAATACAATAATGAACTAAGGGTTAAACCGATTATAAAGAAGTATATTAACAAATTATGGTTAAGGATAAAAACTTGCTGAACAAATAATTGGAGCTGGAATACAAGAAGGGGAGGTGTGGGGAAGTCATGAAAGGAAGTTACTGAAAATGAGACTTAAAAGGTGGAATCTTTTTTTTGTTTTGTGTGTTTTTCTTTGTTTTCTGTTTTGTTCTTTGTACCTTTTGAAACTTTAATAAATATTATTTTTTTAAAAAAGGAAAGTGGCCAGTTCCTCTGATAAAGCTTGATATCCGACATTTCTCCCCTGTATGAATTATTTGATGAGAAGTGAGATTCCGCTCCTGACTGAAGTGCTTCCCACATTCTGAGCACTGATAGGGTTTCTCCCCTGTATGAATTCTGTGATGGGAAAAGAGTGTGGCCCTTGGACTGAAGCTCTTTCCGCATTCCAAGCACTGATAGGGTTTTCCCCCTGTGTGAACTCTTTGATGGGAAGTCAGATCACCACTCAGAAGAAACCTCTTTCCACATTCAAAGGGTGTTGGCCCAACAGTAGCAAGGATGAAAAAAGATGAGACGCTCACCTCACATCTTCTGTAGCAGAGCGACAAAAGTCCTTTCAAAGTCCAAATTCAAATCTTTGTGGAAAAAACAGGAATGCTCCCGCTCATGGCGTTGGCATTGGAGAGTGTCCAATTCGTGCAATGCTAAACACTCAGCGCCCCTGTCTCCACTGTAGCGAGCGGCAGATATCGGACGGCGTGCGGGTGAAGGCACGTGCACCCCATCCCTGCGGGGTTCAACAGGGATAATTACCCCCAGATTCATCTTGTTTAATTGCATGACTGGGGTCCAGTGTCCTGGGAAAGCAGCCAAACGCCATAGGCCATCACACCGGAAGTCTTCTCCAAAGTCTTTTTTTAGATTTTCTCTCTGATAGTAAGAGCTGACAGTGAAAAGGAACTCTCTCTGAAGGGGGTGGACCTTCATTGGGGGTTTTTAAGAAGAAGTTGGATGGCCACCTGTCATGGGTGCTTGAAATGAGAAGGGGAAGGGGTTGGACTAGATTCTGAATCTATGATTCTATACTTCACCCTAGTGTGAGATCTTAAATTGACTTTCGAACAAGTGAAATTTTATACACATTCCGTGTGCTGATATGCTTTCAACCCCGTATGAATTATTTGGTGGGCCATGAATGAATCTTTTCCCACATTTCAAACACTAAACCGTTTTCTCTCTTGTATGGATTCTTTGATGGGAAGTGAGATTGGTCCTATGATTGAAGCTCTTTCCACATTCAAAGCACTGATAGGGTTTCTCCCCTGTATGAATTCTTTGATGGGAAGTGAGACTATCCTTCCGACTGAAGCCCTTTCCACATTCGAAGCACTGATAGGGTTTTTCCCCTGTATGAATTCTTTGATGAGAAGTGAGATTCCCCTCCTGACTGAAGCGCTTACCACATTCTGAGCACTGATAGGGTTTCTCCCCTGTATGAATTCTTTGATGGGAAGTGAGCTTGGTGCCCTCCCGGAAGCTTTTCCCACATTCGAAGCACTGATAGGGTTTCTCCCCTGTATGAATTCTTTGATGGGAAGTGAGACTATCCTTCCGACTGAAGCCCTTTCCACATTCGAAGCACTGATAGGGTTTTTCCCCTGTATGAATTATTTGATGAGAAGTAAGATTCCCCTCCTGACTGAAGCGCTTACCACATTCTGAGCACTGATAGGGTTTCTCCCCTGTATGAATTCTTTGATGGGAAGTGAGCTTGGGGCCCTCCCAGAAGCTTTTCCCACATTCGGAGCACTGATAGGGTTTCTCCCCTGTATGAATTCTTTGATGAGAAGTGAGATTCCCCTCCTGACTGAAGCGCTTACCACATTCTGAGCACTGATAGGGTTTCTCCCCTGTATGAATTCTGTGATGGGAAGAGAGTGCGGCACTTTGACTGAAGCTCTTTCCGCATTCCAAGCACTTATAGGGTTTCTCCCCTGTATGAATTCTTTGATGGGAAGTGAGCTTGGGGCCCTCCCGGAAGCTTTTCCCACATTCGGAGCACTGATAGGGTTTCTCCCCTGTATGAATTCTTTGATGAGAAGTGAGATTCCCCTCCTGACTGAAGCGCTTACCACATTCTGAGCACTGATAGGGTTTCTCCCCTGTATGAATTCTGTGATGGGAAGAGAGTGCGGCACTTTGACTGAAGCTCTTTCCGCATTCCAAGCACTTATAGGGTTTCTCCCCTGTATGAATTCTTTGATGGGTAGT